GGAGTTGAAAGTCCGTGTTGCCCAGCGACAGCCCCAAAACATCACTGCTCTAGAGGAGATCTGCATGGAGGAATGGGCCAACATACCAGCAACAGTGTGTGCCAACCTTGGGAAGACTTACAGGAAATGTTTGACCTTTGTCATTGCCAACAAAGGATATATAACAAAGTATTGAGATGAACTTTTGATATTGACCAAATACTTATTTTCCACCATAATTTGCAAATAAATTCTTTCCAAATCAGCCAAATTGTCTGGATTTTTTTCTCATTTTGTCTCTCATAGTTGAGGTCTACCTATGATGCCAATTACCGGCCTCTCTCATCTTCTTTTAAGTGGGAGAACTTGCACAATTGGTGGCTGACTAAATACTTTTTTTGCCCCACTGTGTGTGTGTGTATATATATATATATATATATATATATATATATATACACACACACACACAGTATCTCACAGAAGTGAGTACACCCTTCACATTTTTGTAAATATTTTATTATATCTTTTCATGTGACAACACTGCAGAAATTACGCTTTGCTACAATGTAAAGTAGTGAGTGTACAACTTGTATAACAGTGTAAATTTGCTGCCCCCTCAAAATAGCTCAACACACAGCCAGTACTGTCTAAACTGCTGGCAACAAAAGTGAGCACACCCCTAAGTGAAAATGTCCAAATTGGGCCCAATTAGCCATTTTCCCTCCCAGGTGTCATGTGACTCATTAGTGTTACAAGGTCTCAGGTGTGAATGGGAAGCAGGTGTGTTAAATTTGGTGCTATCGCTCTCATACTGGTCACTGGAAGTTCAATGGCACCTCATGGCAAAGAACTCTGAGGATCTGAAAAAAAGAATTGTTGCTCTACATATAGACGGACTAGGCTATAAGAAGATTGCCAAAACCCTGAAACTGACCTGCAGCACAGTGGCCAAGACCATACAGCAGTTTAACAGGACAGCATCCACTCAGAACTGGCCTCACCATGGTCGACCAAAGAAGCTGAATGCACATGCTCAGCATCATATCCAAAGGTTGTCTCTTGGAAATAAAAGTATGAGTGCTGCCAGCATTGCTGCAGAGGATGAAGGGGCGGGGGGTCAGCTTGTCAGTGCTCAGACCATATGCCACACGCTGCATCAAATTGGTCTGCATGGCTGTCGTCCTAGAAGGAAGCCGCTTATAAAAAAATGCACAAAGCCCACAAACTGTTTGCTGAAGACAAGCAGACTAAAGACATGGATTACTGGAACCATGTCCTGTGTTCTGATGAGACCAAGATAAATTTATTTGGTTCAGATGGTGTCAAGCGTATGTGGCGGCAACCAGGTGAGGAGTACAAAGACAAGTGTGTCTTGCCTACAGTCAAGCATGGTGGTGGGAGTGTCATGGTCTGGGGCTGCATGAGTGCTACGGCACTGGGGAGCTACAGTTTATTGAGGGAACCATGAATGCCAACATGTACTGTGACATACAGAAGCAGAGCATGATCCCCTCCCTTCAGAGACTGGGCCGCAGGGCAGTATTCCAACATAATGACCCCAAAAAAACCTCCAAGAAGACCACTGCCTTGCTAAAAAAGCTGAGGGTAAAGGTGATAGACTGGCCAAGCATGTCTCCAGAACTAAACCTTATTGAGCATCTGTGGGGCATCCTCAAATGGAAGGTGGAGGTGCGCAAGGTCTCTAACAGCCACCAGCTCCGTGATGTTGTCATGGAGGAGTGGAAGAGGACTCCAGTGACAACCTGTAAAGCTCTGGTGAACTCCATGCCCAAGAGGGTTAAGGCAGTGCTGAAAAATAATGGTGGCCACACAAAATACTGACATTTTGGGCCCAATTTGGACATTTTCACTTAGGGGTGTACTCACTTTTGTTGCCAGCAGTTTAGGCATTAATGGCTGTGTGTTGAGATATTTTGAAGGGACAGCAAATTTACACTGTTATACAAGTTGTACGCTCACTACTTTATATTGTAGCAAAGTGCCAATTCTTCAGTGTTGTCACATGAAAAGATATAATAAAATATTTTAAAAATGTGAGGGGTGTACTCACTTCTCACTTAGACATTATTTCTATGATCCCTACACCTAATACAGACCATACCTCTTGGTCCAATTTCAGGCCCATCTATTTATTGAATTGGGATATCAAACTGTAGTCAAAATTCATGCACATCAACTTAATCATATTATTGGTGGCTTAATACACAAGGACCAGGTTGGTTTTATTCCTTGTCACCATGCAAGTGATAACATTAGACGAGAACTTCTTTTGCAGAACTTGGCTCGCAAGAGGCAGATTCCTTTACATTTGTTAGCTCTGGACATCAAAAAAAGTATTTTCAATTGTCCGGGTTATTAGACAGGGCTGCCCCTTTCTCCCCTAATCTTCACCCTTGCTATAGAACCCTTAGCACTCTGAGCAAACCCAGATATCCAGGGCATTGAAATGGCCTGCTGTCATCATAGACTCTGCCTATTTGCAAATAACGCCGTAATGTTTGTCAACTCCCCTTGCACTACACTGCCCAACCTATTCCGTGTCCTGGACCATTTTCCCTCCTTATCCAGCTTTAAGGTTAACCAACAGAAATCTAAGGTGCTCAATGTATCCCTGCTGACACCCAATGTGCTGTATCTACAGGAAACCTTTCCATTTCAGTGGGAAATCTCTCTTCCTTATCTTGGCATTAAGTTAACTAGTGATCCAACTTTCTCATACCGTATAAATTATCTTCTCATGTTGACCCATCTTACATCCCTTATGTCTTCTTGGCAATCATTGCATGTTTCATGGTAGGCTGTATAATAAAAATGTCTCTATTGCCCAAGGTCCTTTATTATTTTTTTTTTTTTTTTGGGGGGGGGGCTTTCCCATAGCGGTACCATTCCACTTTCTAGCATGTGCTGCAGATGGACACCTGAACCCGGAGCGGAGAGAAAGATTAAAGCGACTGGGGGACCGATGCGGCGACCTAAAACCTGGGATGTGCACAACGGTCAGAGCCAAATGTTTAATTCAGCCCAAGCCAGACTCAGAACCGCTTCTCTTTTAGCTGTGTGACTTCTCATGCCTCCCTGATGATTGATGTAAGCCACTACTGTGGCATTGTACAAATGAATCCTGGTCAGGTGACACTGCAGCCAATATGTCGAGCTTTGAAGAGACATTCCAATTGCCCTGAGCTCCAGAATATTGATCAGCAGCGCAAGTGTCTGAAATGTTCTAGTCCCCTTGTAACTGAGCAGGTAGGTGTGTGCCTAACACAATATCACAAACACACAAAGGCAACATTACAGACAGGCCCCATGTCATCTTCCTGGCAAGGTCCAGGCATGGTCAACCCAGAGCAGAGTTGAAAAATAACAGATCTGGAAGCAGCCAAAATGAGGCTTGTTGGTTCTACAGCAGCTAAAGATTATGTGGAGAAAAGAGCACTGAGAAAGTGTGTTGCTTCTTTCAGAGCAGAGAGAAGACTTTCATTCTCCTAAGGACACTAGCAACTGAGGCTAGTGTGAAGGGATTAAATAGGGCTGTCCTCATAGCTTTGTTTGTCAGTGCCCCATTTACAACATAATCTGCATAATCCATTGGTTTTAGAAAAACATTATGTGTCCTTGTAATGTATAATTAAGAAATACAATTTTATTTTCCTTCATTTGTAACTCATTCCTTCTGATTTCCTCTAGTATATTTCAGCTGTTTCCAGTCTATATGCACCTGCTCCTGCACATGTTACTCTTTACAGGCTCTTGATAGTGACCACAGTGGTCTTTGACTACACAATTTTTGTCCGCACATCCACATGTAGTCTCTACCAGGGGGACATGTAAAAGGATGAATTTAAAAGTCTGGTCCCCTTAAGTCTGATCCCCTTATTATAGGAAATGCCTGATCAAGGAAATTCATGGCAGTGTCACTAGGTATTCTTTTAGAAAGCCGACTAGAAGTAGATCCTGATTAATAAACATCACGTGAAACCCAGATTAGCGAAAATGGTGTAAAAGTAAATCCAGAGGACAACCACCTTAATGTTAGTATTTTATAAAAGAGAGATAAAAAGGTAATACTGTAGATGAAAGCAGTTTCCGAGCCTTACCTTCTTCAGAGAAGGCAAACATCTGTGCTGATAGGACCCGGTCTTCCATGAGATACAGTTCTACTTTTTTAAGCCAAAGACCCATGGTTGGCGGTTGGGTGCATTTCCAGATAAGGGGAATGCATAATTTAGCTGCATTAAGAAGGCAACAGAGTATAGACTTCATAAAGATTTTGGCAGGTATGTCAGAGACATGAAGAAGAAAGCCAGGTCCTCCGACACCATATAACCAGTACATCTTTGGACAATTTTCCAGATCTCTTCCCAATAATTACTGTATTTTCCGGCGTATAAGACGACTTTTTAACCCATGAAAATCTTCTCAAAAGTCGGGGGTCGTCTTATACGCCGGTATAGGGCGTGCTGACACTTCCAAGCCGGTGTAGCCAGGGGCATATCTGCCTAGGGCGGCACTTTTTAGGGGGGCGGCTCGGTGGTGCCGCCGCCCCCCCCCTTCCAACAGAAGGGACACTAAGTACAGGGGTGGGCAAGGGGGCTGCTGTTTCTTACCTGGCTCCGGTCCCAGTCCCACGACGATACAGTCCAGGAAGCGCAGCTGCTCCATTCAGTTCGGCCGCTGCCTCACTCGATGTTCGCTCGGCTCCGCTTCCTCACCGGTGATTGGGCGCCAGAACTGTAGCTCAGGAAAGGCACACAGGCGGCCAATCACCTGCGAGGAGGCGGAGCCGAGCGGCCCCGCTAACATTGAGTGAGGGAGCGGCCGGTAAGTGTGCCGTGCAGATGGTGCTGCTGCAACCACATATGCTGGCTGCAGCAGCACCATGCTGGAACAGGTGTCAGCAAGTGTCATTGGTGTCAGTGGGAGGAATAGTGCCCAATCATTGGTGTCACTGATACTAATGATGGGGCATTATTCCTCCCACTGACACCAACAATGGGACACTATTCCTCCCCCCACTGACACCAACGATGGGGCACTATTCCTCCCCCCCCCACTGACACCAACGATGGGGCACTATTCCTCCCCCCCACTGACACCAACGATGGGGCACTATTCCTCCCCCCCCCACTGACACCAACGATGGGGCACTATTCCTCCCCCCCACTGACACCAACGATGGGGCACTATTCCCCCCCCCCCACTGACACCAACGATGGGGCACTATTCCTCCTCCCCCACTGACACCAACGGGGCACTATTCCTCCTCCCCCACTGACACCAACGATGGGGCACTATTCCTCCCCCCCACTGACACCAACGATAGGGCACTATTCCTCCCCCCCACTGACACCAACGATGGGGCACTATTCCTCCCCCCACTGACACCAATGATGGAACACTATTCCTTCCCCCACTGACACCAATGATGGGCTGCTATTCCTCCCACTGACACCAATGATGGTGTGCTATTCCTCCCACTGACACCAATGATGTTACACTATTTCTCCCACTGACACCAATGATAGGACACTATTCCTCCCACTGATACCAATGATGGGGCACTATTCCTCCCACTGACACCAATGATGGAACATTATTCCTCCCACTGACACCAATGATGGGGCACAATTCTTCCCACTGACACCAATGAAGGGGCACTATTTCTCCCACTGACACTGATGGAGTACTATTCCTCCCACTGACACTAATGATGGGACACCATTATTGGTGTCAGTGGAATAGTGCCCCATCATTGGTGTCAGAGCGAGGAATCGTGCCCCATCATTGGTGTCAGTGGGAGGAATAGCACCCCATCATTGGAATACCATACTGAAATACCATACCATATTGAAATCAAATCTTTTGTTTTTTAATTTTTATTTGGTGTGCGTTGGAAGAGGGGTAGTCTTATATGGCGAGTATAGCCCACACCCTATATTTTAACAGGAAAAGGATGGGGTCGTCTTATATGCCGGAAAATACAGTATGTAATATAGGACAGGACCAAAAAAATGTGGAACATTTCCCCCAACTCTTCCTTGCATCAACAGCACCAGAAGTGTTCAGAAAGAGTTTATGTGTGATACCTCAGGATCAGAATTTTGAAATTGGTTTCCTGAATTCTCATGCAAATCGAGGATTTCAGGGCAAATCTTATGTTAGTTCATTAGACCATTGTTAACGTCCTACCCAGATTTGATTCACATTTTCTGATGGAGGGCAGGTGTTGATCTTCGGGAAGGGGGGGGCATCACCAATAAAGAATAAGCCTTTGAGAGAGCATGAGGGAGAGTTTCCAGGTCAGAACAGTACTCCTCTAACATGGTGAGCCAGACATAAAGTGTGTGGGGGTGGAAGAGATTTAAAAAAATTATGCAAGTGCAAAGCCCTCCAAAAATCTATTCGGAAGGGAACCATAGAGCCCGCCAGCAGTCAGAGGGAAGGCCAGCTTTCCGCTGTCAGGAAGTGGGATGTCTGGAACCTCTCAGACACCAACAAGGGTCTAGCTTGAAGACCATGAGGAAAGAGCGGATTTCCAAAGATAGGAAAACATGAAGAGTCATTGGGCATAAGCATAGTAGTAGTTGAGAGCAAACACGAGTCATGGTTTCAATTAAAGAGTGTGCTTTGAAAGCAGGAGAAAAGGCTCCATAACATCATAGTGCTCAACGTAAAGGGTTTGTGTCTGTTCCAGTCTGGGGCAAAGCTTAAGGTTTGTATGCAGACACCAGTCAACTAATTATTTAAGTGAGCAGCTTGGTAGTATTTATATAAGTCTGGAAGGGTCAGTCCTCCACATTATTTTGGCCATGTCAACAGGTGGTGGTGAATTCGGGGTCGTTTGTGGGCCAAGATGAACTCAGTGAAAAGTAATTGGACTTGTAGAAAATATTGAAGGGGTATAGCGATAGGCAGGGCCTGGAAAAGGCATAGGAATTTTGGTAGTATACTCATTTTGATGATATTGCATCTCCCGAACAATGAATGTATTCCATGGTGCAACGTCCTCAAGATGGTGCGTATTCTGCCCAAAAGTGGAAGGAAGTGAAGGTCAAGTGTACTGAGGTATTTCAGAGCTGAGTCTGTCCAATTAAAGTGGAAGTTGAGTTGCAAGGTCCAAAAAGAGAAGGTGGTATCACCACTCCCATCGACTCACATTCATGGAGGAGGTTAGGGAGAGATTGCAGGGGTGGGAAGGGAGAAAAGCATGTTGTCTGCATATGCCAATATCTTAGGGGAAAGGGGGCATCCCTGCCAAATCCCATTGGTAAATAGGGAAAGGGTCTAATAGAACTCCGCTGGCCCGACAGATGCCGTCGGTGAAGAATAAACAGGCAATATCCAATTAAACATTATATCCTTGAGTCCAATGTGATGCAAAACTGCCAACATAATCGCCAATTTACCCAATCAAAGGCCTTCTCGGCATCAGTGCCCAAAACTACACAAGGTATGTGCTTTTGGTTGGCTATGTGGTTCAAGTTCAGGACCTTGATCATACAGTCCTATGCCTCACGTGTCAGGATAAACCCAACTTGATCAAGATGAATCAGATCTGGCAGGTGTTTTTGGAGACAAGAGGCCAAAAGTTTGGTGAACAACTTTAAGTAGGCATTCAGCAGTGATATTGGCCTGTAACTGCCACATGAGGTAGGGTCTTTACCCTCTTTATGGAGGACTAAGATGTGAGCTTTTAAGGTTTCTGGTAAAAAAAAAAAAAAAAAGAGGTTGTGGGATTGAACACATTAAATATTTTGACCATGAAGGGGCCCAGGGAGGGGAATACAATTTTGTAACATTGTAATGTAAATCCGTCGGGCCTAGGGGATTTGCCCGTTTTAGTAGAATTTACTGCCACTTGAAGTTCCTCTAATGTAACAGGACATTCAAGATCAACCCTAATAGGAGAGTCTAGTCTGGACATGCGGGAGACAGTCAAGTAGGCCTCAATTTGTTTCTGAGTGAGAGATACTGACTGTAAATTATAAAGAGAGGAATAGAAGGCACCAATGCTTGAGCAATCTGTTTAGGAAGAATGGCCTTCCGCCCATCAGGACAGGATATTGTGAGGAATATATGTTGCCAACCGTTGGTGCCGGAGAGATCTGGCCATTAGTCGGCCACATTTATCACCAGATTTGTATGACATTTTCTGACAAGTTTGTAATGCAGCATTTGCCTTATAACGCAACAGGTCGGAACACAGAAGGTCCCTCCCCAAGGTCAAAGATGGAGTATGTTTGTGTCACGACTCCAATTTGTTAATGTCAGCTAGGAGGGATTCCAGTTGCGCATTCCGCTTCAATTTGATCTACCAAACCATATTTGCTCAGAATACCCCTGATAACCACTTTATGGGCTTCCCAAATGACTCCAGGTTTACTATCTGGGGTATCGTTCATCTGAAAGAAGCAACCTAATTCCTTGATCACATCAGCCAAGATGGTCAGGTCTTGGAGAAGGCTCTCATTAAGCTTCCAAGTCGGGGTTCTGGATGAGGTGTAGTCAGAAAGGGCATATGTCAGTGTGATAGGGGCATGATCTGACCAGGTGACATTACCTATGGAGGATTCTGTGACTGCATATAATTGGTGTATGTGGAATCAAAAATAAATCTATATGGGAGTATAGTTTATGAGAGGAAGAGTAGAACATGTAGTCACATTCCCCTGGGTGCAGTAATCGCCATATGTCTAACTGTGCTCTATGCAAAGCTTGTGATATCCGCTTGCAGGCTCCAGGAGGAATGGAGGAGGTGCTCAAGGATGTATCCACAATGGAAACCGGAGGGACATTGAAGTCACCACCGAGGATCAGTTGTAATGTAAATTCATGAAGTTTGGTAAGGTTATTAATGAGGAAGAAGTCCTGATGATCATTAGAGGCGTAGAGGGTGGCTAAAATGACCTTAAGTCCCCCAATTAATCCTCTGAGGAACAGGAAGCGGCCTTCAGCATCAACAAGGGCATGTAGGCATGTCCAAGGTACCCTGTTAGATATGACCATGAATACCCCCCCTTTGATTTGTTAGAAGAATGGTATGTCAGGGGGTAAAACCTGTTTTTTTGTTAGTAGAGGGAGTTTGTCATCTCTGAAGGGTGTTTTCTGAATAAATTCTATGTCCACATGCAGACATTTCAGGTCATGGAAAAGAATGATGCACATTTCTTTCCGGAGTATTAAGCTCTTTAGCATTAAGGGACACAACACGAATGACACACATCTCCCCCGTCAACCCAATCCACCAGAAAAAAAAAAAAGAAACGGGGGGGGGGGGGGGGGGGGGAGCGGGTGGTTGTAGGAAAAGGAAGTAGAAATTAGATAAGGAAGATGGAGAGGAAAGAAAAAAAAAAATAGGCAAGAGGAAGGAAGTAGGGATAGGCAGAAACAGAAGGCGCTACCAGCCTAAGAGACCATAAATAATAAGTTCTATTGTGCTCTCCGACCAATGGCCAATTATAAGAGTGTGGGCCTAAGTGGGGAAGTGGTTAGAGATAGTCCAGGAAAGAGCTCCAGGCCATGTCCAGACCACGCCCCCTTCCACACTTTTTTTTTTAACTTGCATTCAATTTGGGACCTTTAACAATAGTACTGAATTAAAGTGGTAACAAACCTCCCAAAAAAAAAAAAAAAATGGGTCCCTGCAGGTTTAGGTCATAATGTACTCGTATGCACCTCATACTAACACATTATGACAGACTTACCTGTATAAAGCCCTCCCGTGCCACGTTGTTACAGCTCCCCAATGTGGCCATCTTCACCCGGTCTTCCTTGCAGGATCCACCATGACATCACTCCCACACATATACGTAGGAGCTCTCAGCTGCAGCAAGGAGCTCTGAAGGTCTGGCACGCTGTGCTGTCCTCTCAGAGCACATGCACTGGTTACATCACCAGCTACATGCTGTGTGATTATCTCCTAAACAGTGCACGTTTAGGAGATATTCACTGTACCTACCAGTAAGCCTAATTATAGGCTTACCTGTAGTTACAACTTACAAAGTGGACTTTAGTTCCACTTTAACCTCCCTACCGGTCTGATTATGTCCATATTTCTGTGCTCAAAGCGGTACTTTTTTTGCATGGAAATATGTATTTTTTTTTATTGTAGGCCTGTAATTTTTAGGAATAACTCACTGAAGTCTGTCCGAGCAAGAGTCTAGTAAACATCCCCGATATGTTACAATTTGAAACACGAAATCATAAATTATAATTTAATAAATAACACTGTTCAACAAATTTTTATTTTTTGCC